TCCATCCATCCACTCCATCCGCTCTATCCATCCATCCATACATCCACTCTGTCCATCCATCCACTCCATCCATCCATCCATCCATCCATCTATACATCCATACATACATCCATTTTTACATCCATACATATATCCACTCCATCCATCCTCCATCCATCCACTCCATCCACCTATCCATCCATCTATACATCCATTCCATCCATCTGTCCACTCCATCTATCCATCTATCCACTCCACCCATCCATCCACCCACTCCATCCATCCATATATATATCCATCCATCCATCCACTCCAGTCCATCCATCCATCCACTCCATCTAGTCCATCTAATCCATCTGTCCCATTCATCCACCTGTTCACTCATCCACCCATCCCATCTATCCCATCCATCCCTCTTCTCTTATCTCTGTCTCCCTCCCTGTGTCTGGTCACCTCCCATGTATGTACCTCCTCACAGCAGAAATCCCTGCCATGCTCCACAGCTGCCTCATTGTCTCCCTCCCTGAGCCAGACAGGCCAGGCCATAGCCCTCCTCTTTCCCATGACCCTGAGTGCACAAGTGGGCTTGTCACCCTGGAGGAATGCACCAGATGGCCCTGGCCTTCACACATCCCTGGGCAGTGGGTGAGCAGACCTCTGGCCTAGCCACCACGGATACCACCCCGCCCAGGAAGCTCCTGTGGCCCTGGGACATACCTGGCGGCCGGCCTCATTGTTGTGGCGGTTCATGGCTGAGCGGGCATCTGGCCGGTTCTCCCGGGCATCTGCGAACTCTCGGGACACCATCCCACCAAATTCGATGTCCTCACTGCAGCCACCCCACTTCCAGCCCTCACCCGGTGAGCCCTGGTGGCGAGTGCTGCAGCCGCAGATGGTGGCCGAGCCCTCTGCACAGGAGCGGGTCACGGCAAAGGCCACACCAGCTGAAGCGATGGCATGGACGAAGGCAGACTCGCGGGTGGCTGTGGGGAGAGGAGAGATGGGGGTAGCAGGGCAGGGAGGGGCTGCATGGGCACCCACGAGCTAGGACTGAGGAAAAGGAGAGCTTCTCAGAAAGCCGCTGCAAAAGGTCTCATCTATGAAATCCTTGCCCACTTGTGTCCTGAAGTGTCGCCTCTGCTTGCTGCTGGCTGTTTCATAGTTTCAGGTCTTCCGTTGTACTCTTCGGTCCAGTTGGAGCTGATTTTTGTATATGGCAAGAGGGAAGGGTTGGCTTTCATTCTTCTGCATGTGGATGCCCAGCCTCCCAGCCCTGTTTATGGAAACACCTGTTCTTTCCCCAGCATACGTTCTGCAGGCCTTGGTTGAAAATCAATTGGTTGGTGATGTGTGTATTTATTTCTGACCCCTGTTCCATTGGTCAGTTTTTATGCTAGTACCATGCTGTCTTGGTTGTAGTGGCTTTGTAGTATATACAATGAAATACTGCTCAGCCCTAAAAAGGATGGAAACCTGTCATTTGTGACAACATGGGTAGAACTGGAGGACACTGTGTTAAGTGAAAGAAGCCAGGGACAGAGAGACCAGAGCCCGTGTTGTGGGAGCTAAAAACTGGATCTCATGGAAGTGGGAAAGGAGGAAGGAAGGGGTCAGGGAGAGGTTGGCAGAGGGTCCAGAACTGTCCTTAGATAAGGGGATAATCCCAAGTGATCTGTTAGCTTTTGGTACCGGGGATCAAACTCGGGACCTTGCGCTTGTGAGGCAGGCACCAGAACCGCTGAGCTAAATCCCCAGCCCTATGTTAGCTCTTTGTTTCCATGATAAAATATCTGACAAAATCAATTTAAAGGAGGAAGGAATCCTTTTGGCTCATGGCTCCCGAGGTTCCAGGCCATGATCACTGGGCTCTGTCACTTCTGGCCCTGTGGTGAGACAGGACATCGTGGTTGGGAACAAATCAACCACCTTCTGGTGGGTAGGAGGTTGGGAGAGTCACACAGGGGCTGGGGATGTGTTACACTTTCATCCCCAGTGACCCACTCCAACCGGGCGCCACCCCTGCTGCTTCCAGCACCTCCTTCGGGTCCATGGTGTTCTGGATCCTCCACGACAGTTACCTCTGAACACCACCACACCAGGGACCAGGCCTCCAGCACTGGTGCCCTAGGGGGATTTTAGATCCAGACCATCACAGGTGATTACAGTGAACAGTAATTTGTCATATATTTAAAAATAGCTAAAAGAGAGGATTTTGAATGTTTTCATCAGAAAAAATGGTAAATGTTTGAGGTGGTAGATATGCTAAGAACTCTGATTTGATCATTATACAATGTACTATGCTGAAACATCACACTGTGTTCATAAATGTGTGCAATTATTATATTTCATTAAAAATTAAAGAAATAGAAAAAATTACACCAGAATCAACAGGCACCCAGGAAGATTTTCAACACCACTTGTCATGGAGCAATGTAGACCAGAGCCAAACGAGGGCCACTTCATTCCTGGGGGGATGGCCAGATCAAGACGCCAGGCCCCAGGAGTGGCGGTGCATTGAGAGACCAGCAGCCTCATGTGCAGCTGGGTGAAGGGAACGTGGTTTCCTTCCCTTGGAGAACTTCAGGCATGCACCTGCCACCTGGGTCTCTACTGCAGGAGAAACTGATTCCCAGGCACAGGCTCCGAAGCAAATACAACAGGAGCACACTACCCTAACAGTCCTGGACTGCAAGCCCACATGTCCAGCAACAGGTGGCTGGATAAGGATGCATGGCGTCCAGCACACAGAATTCACTTGGAGGCATGGCAGCCCCCCCTTATCAGAGGTTTCAGCTACCCACCGTCAGTCACAGTCCAAAAATACTACGTAGAACATTCCAGAAAGAAACACTTCCCATGTTTTAAGTGGCACCCTGCTCTGAGCGGTGTGAGGAAATCTCATGGCATCCTGCTCTGTGCCCCCTGAGATGCGGCTCGTCCTGGATGTCCTGCGCTCCTCACCTGGTGCCCCTGACAGTTGCAATGCCACGGTACTTGTGTTCAAGTGACCCTTGTTTTACCTAACGATGGCCCCAAATCACGAGAAAAGTAAAGCTGGCCATTTGGCTACCCCAAGGAGAATCCAGAAAGAGTTCTCTTCCAGTGAAAGGAAGAAAGCTCTAGTCTTAGTAAGGAAAGAAAAGAAATCATATGCTGAAGCCTGCCTTAGTGTGGCCAGCAATACCAGTGCTACAGTCTAAATATTGGGCTGTCTAAAAACCTTCTCCATACTTTTCTGGCCAGTGAAAGCCTGTTCAGATTCGAGACTCTTTCCACATTGTAGTTGGATATAAGGAAAGGACAAAGGGACTTATGTGTTGCCCATCAACTGAAGACTGGATAAAGAAGATGTGGGTTTTTATAAAATGGAGTTCTACTCAGCCATAAAGAACAAGAAACTAGAGACATTTATAGCTAAATGGATGCATATTGGGGCAATGCTCTTAAGTGAAATAAATAGGACACACGTATAAATACCGAATAGTTTCTCTGGTATGAAAAACTAAAAATGTAAATAAGGATCAAAATGCATAGTTCATAATGTGAAATAGGAAGAAAAGGGCTAAAGGAGTAGGGGAAATGGGAGGGGTAGGGGAAAGAAAAGAAGGGGAAAGAAAAAATATGAGAAAAGAAAAAATGGAAACAAAGTCTTTGTAAATAGGGAAGGGTGGGCAGGGGAAGGGGGAAAAATAAGAACCAAGATGCATCATGTAAAAGTACAAGATTCCAACGATGAATGTAACTGTATTGTATACCTAACGTACCAATAAACTTCATGAAAAAAAAAGAGGGAAAATTATGTGACAAAACTGTTCTAGAAAAGAAGCAAATACAGGGGCCGGGGATTTAGCTCAGTGGTTTCCCCACCTGCTGTGCAAGCACAAGGACCTGAGTTCGATCCCTGGTACCAAAAAAAAAAAAAAAAAAAGCAAATATATCCAGGGAAGTCATCTTCCCCAGAGATGCAATTATGGATTGAGTTCACGCAAAGTGTCAATTATCTGTCTTTCCTTCTTTCCATCCATCTATCCATCCATTATCCATCACTCACCACCCATCCATCTACCATCTACCCACTGTCCATCCATCCATTATGCATCATTCATCATTCATCCTCCACTCACCACCCATCCATCTACCATCTACCCACTGTCCATCCATCCATTATGCATCATTCATCATTCATCCTCCACTCACCACCCATCCATCTACCATCTACTCACCATCCATCCATCCATCCACTCATCCATGATCTGAGAATCCACATGAGCCAGCACCAATCACAGACCGAGTATAGCGTGCAAGGTGCTTACTTTCAAGAACAAGGATAAGAAAGCTTTGAGAACATAGCTTGCTCATCGGTATGATGAGATTGCTAACAGCCAAGGCTTTCTGAAAGGTGAAGGATCTGGTTCTGGTGGTGATGAGTGGGTGACCCACTGCGCAGTGGAGGGAGTCCCTACCTTGCAGAGGATAGACCAGGTGAAGCCTTCTCTACCTCTAGAGGGAAAGTCTGCTGGTTTTAGTCAGATCTTTTGGATTGGGTTTTACTGAGTCACCGCCTACAGCGGACAAGGGAGAGTGTAGGGGGAAGAAGGACACTAGTCAGGCTTGGCAACGTGAGCTCTGGGGTGAGTATAGGATGGATAAATAGTAGATAGGTGATAGATGAGGGGTGGGTGGGTGGGTGAGAAATGGGTAGATGGGTGATGATAGATGCATGTGTGGTACATGGATGGATTGGTGGATGACAGACACATGGATGTTTACATGGATGGATGGATGATGGTGAGTGGACAGATGAATGTATTGGTAGACAGAAGTGTGGGTGGACAGATGGTGGACGGGTGGATGCAGGTGGGTGGGCAGCAGGATGGATGAGTAGACAGAGAATGGAGGGTGGAGACTGTCTAGGGAGGGCAAGAAGAGCTGCTGGTGGGCCCCATCATAGCTGAGGGCAGTGCACCCTCAGATGCCAGGAACCATGACATGTGCTTAGCAGTTACTTTGCCTCCCTAAATCTTAGGACTTTTGAGGCATCTGAACAAATCCCGTTTTCAGGTTTGGATTTCTGGGCTTGTCAAGTATTAATGATCATTTGGGGACTGAAAGGGGACTGCCGAGCGTTTCCATTTGCGGAGAGAGGCTAAAACATAAAAAATGCCTACTGCATTTTCAGAAGAGGACCTCTGAACACCAGAAAGGAATTCCCTGAGGAGCGCTTGCAGCAGTCATTCCAAGGTCCTTGTCTTTCTCTTGTTTCTGTGAGGCCAATTGGGGGCCGTGACTGTGGTGCCAACTGTGCTCTAAGCCGACCAGAAGGCCTCTTGGGGACCAGCCTGTCCCCATGGGCTGCCCTTCCATGGGAGGCCACCAAGAGGCTGGCCTCAGGGACCCTTGTGTGCTCAGAAGGCAGACACTGTGGAGCTCAGTCAGGAGGCTGCTCTGCCCTGGGGTGCAGTGGGGAGAGGGGTCCTGGTGCGTCCTCAGTTTATGGAAGAGAAGATAGCTCGGGTAGGAAGAAGGCCTGGAGAGGATCAGCCCTGGGCTAGGCTACACAGCCTGGACAAAGGTGTCCCGAGAGATCTCTGCAGCCCCCTGCACACACAGGCTCTCCAGGCTCCTGCGGTGGCTTCTGGCCCCAGCCTTGGGGGACAGGTAGCCCCCGTGTGGCTAAGCTCTGTGCCTGGCCAAGGGGGCCTTGCTGGGGGCCAGGAGGGAGAACCACCAGGGACGGGTGTGCCCCAGCCCGAGGGGACCCTGCGTGGGCTTTTGAGGATACACATGACCCGGAAAGGAGGCCTTCCCGGGAGACCTGCTCGGCTGGGCTTCGGGGCCAGGTGCGGTGGTGGTGGTGGTGGGAGGCTCTGTCAGCGGCCCTTCGGGGAAGCTGCTCTGCCGTGGCACTGGGAGACACGTCCCTGCTGGGCGGCGGAGGGAGCCAGGCTCAACGGCCCAGCTGCAGAGTCTGTGCTGCCCCAGT